AGAGGGGGGGGGTGAAAGGGTCTGGGTGAAAAGGAGTGCGGTGAAAGTCACGGGTGGGTTTTTTACCCCCGATCGCACGGGACTGCTAGTCCCGTGTTATTCGAAACTGCCACGAAATACACGGGACTATCAGTCCCGTGTATGTCGTAAAAACTTTTCGCCAGCAAAACCGACCCTTTTCAGAAGAAAAGGGTCGGTTTTGCTGATTAAAGTTCAAATAGGTCGATTTTGCTAATTAATTCTCGAATTTGGTTGATTTTGAAAATTTGTCCTTTTGAAAACCATATTATCTAAGTACGGGTCTTATTAGAACCTCCCCATGCTTTGCGACAAACAGGGGGCAGTTCAGTCATTTCACTACTCTCTTTTTAGCTTGCAGAACTCTGCACGCTATAGGTTCTGATAATGTCACCTTTGTCAAGTGCTGATCTACTAGATCTAAGATCTTTTACACGAGCTCCTCCAATCCGTAGATGAAATCAATATCAGTCTCCTTCTCATTTGACTCTTGCAATTGTTTTGGTTTTTTACTTTTAGCTTTTGTCCCCTTCCTTTGAACCCTAGAACTCACTTGAAATTTTCAATGGCTTCTAATCCGAGTAAACTATTTACAAAGCTAGCAATAAGGAAATTACAACTTTGTAATTAATTCGATCTTTTTCATCATCTATGTTTTTTGGATAAATATTATAAAACTTAGATACGGAGTTGTTAGAAAGAATGTGGTAGAGAAAGGACAAATTTACCCTTTAAATAAAATGAAATAAAAAAATAAGTAAGACATCTTTCCTGGAACATTGAAGCAAGACTCAATTTTTATTTATGGTATGTTTGGCAACTCCCCACTAATTAAAGCCTTAACAAGGTTAGTTATAATTCAAGTAGGGGTGGATCAATCCTAACTCGGATAAGGACATAAAATTTGAACTAAGAGAACTTGGTTTGCAGTAAGCCTAATTTGAACTAAGAGAACTTTCGGCCGTTGTTCGAAGATCAAGATTAGATGCATGGTGAGTCTTCCACAAAATTCAGGAAAGGTGATATCTAAACAAGAGATTTGTCTATATTTATATATTACTATGCATGGTTTACATTGGTATCATAGCCAGATTAGGTTTGCTAAACATCTTTGATCCTTTTGTTTTAGGGTTAGATGTATTTATCTTGCATCTAGTGTTTGTGTAGAATAGATCTAGTTTCTTAATGATGATTTTGGTCACTAAAATAGATAAAGTCAGGATTTTTATTAATAAAATTTTATTTAATAAAAAAAATGACATTTAGGATGTCAAAAATTTTATTAAAAATTTTGGGTGTAAAAATCCTATTTTTGACATTTAGGATGTCAGATATATAATAAAAATTTAACTTTTAAGATCTAGTGGGCAATTTTAATAAAGATTAGAAGCGTTGACGACAGTGGGATCATAGGGTGGTGACTCTGACACTGGACGTTGAAAGCTCACCACCCACAATCGTCGGCGTCGGATGCTAGTGGTAGCAGTTTCATTTCATAAAAAACTCTTATAAGATCTTCCCGCCAGCGACAGTACCACTAATCGATGGCGAGACCCAAATGCAGTGGCATAGGTGTTGGGCGTGGAAGGCGATCGCCTGACCATCGCGGCTGTCAGGCACCAGTGACAGTTTATTCAGTTGTCAACAAATTTTTTTTTAAAGGGGTTGCCTTAGGGGTGGCGGTAGCGTTGGGCTGCTGACACTGACAACAACTTGGGCGGGGCTAGCGATCATACTCAGACCCGAGGTCAAGGTGGTGCTGCTAGGCAGTGCCCCCTAACAAACTCCTAGGGCTAGAACCCTAGGAGCAAAGCTAGAAATTATATTTTTGTATTTTTTATTTTATTTATATTTTGAAAATTGTAAAATATTATTTCTTAATTAGAACATCCTTTTAAAATAATAAAAACATTAAGAAAAATTTTAGAAAATATTTTTATTATTTTCTTTAGAAATTTCTGATAAGAAGACCACTAGATTTCATAATAGAGTTATTTTTCAATTTATAAAAATAATTTTTGAACTTTGAAAGTTTAGAAAAATTATTTTTATACACCAAAAAATTTAATTATAAAAAATCTTAAAAAATCTTATAGATTTTCATCGATAGCTATTCAGGCGGGAGCGCTTGGTACACGTACTAATTACAGAATAAATAAAAAACCCTAATAAAATTGACAAGGTAATGTTTCGGCTCTTTTGCATAGCAATTGACACATATTACAGTTCAAAAGAGACTATAATTGAAACAAAGTAAAATATGGCTAGGTTCCTTTCAGCGTGCTAATGGAGTGTTGATCTTGTGCTCCATTGACGATCCGACTAAGATGATAGGTCCCTTGTTGTTGATCTCTGACTTGGTTGCTTATAAGATATCTCAATCTTCTCTTAGAACCGAAACAGAATGAAACTTCACATGTGTAGTCTGGTGGTCTCTCCGTGTGTGTCGAATGAATAATCTCCTCCTCCTCTTATAGGCTGAGAGAGAGAGAGAGCTAATGGCCTTTAATTGTGGGTTAAGTGGTCATTAAAGTAGAAGATAGTGGGGGAGCGGTAATCTTCTTGAAAATAGCTCTCAAACGGCTGATTGGCGAAGTTCGCTGATTTGGTGAAGCTTGCTGAAGGTGTTTGGGCAAGGCTTGCTTGGATGTGGTTGATCCTTCTTTGGAATTATGGATGTCATGGCCCACGTGGGTAGCTATGAGCGAAGTTTGTTAATTGATTGGTTGGCAAATTTCGCTGGCGAAATTAATCAGTTAGCGAACTTTGCCTATGAGTTCGAATTTAGCACATAATTCGACTTATGACTTGGCTATCTCAATAACACCTTTCGACTCAGCCTAAAATCTGAATTGAGAGTCGACCCACTCTTGACTTGGTCGGGTCGGGTTGGGTCGAGTTGAGCTGTGTGGCGAAGTTCACATACTTAGTTAGGCGGATCAAACTTCAGATTGTTGTGTGTTCAAGTTTAAGCCCATCTGAAG